TAAAAAAATAATAAAACAAACCTAGATTTTCAAAATGGAAAAAATGGCTAGGATTTACTAAATGCAAAATGGATGATTCGCAGATAATGGAACCAGAACAATCTGCTAGCACTAAGAATATTGAAAAGAAAAGAAAAATTGTTTATAGAAAATATAATGAAAGTTATTTATCATTTGGGTTTACTTGGAATGGAGATGAAATGTATCTTGGCCCATTTCAGATGCAGTTGGCGATAATGTGTCGTCAATGTAGACCCAGACAGTATTTCACCACTATTGTAGCTGGTGGTTATTTCGGTTATTGTAACTCTTCAGTCACGATGAACAGTGCATAGCAATCTCTGCTTTCCTTTGGAATCAATGTGCCATTGACGACACAATGTTGGCCGACTTGTCATTTCACCTTCCGTACACCATGTTCGATATGTGCTCACAACAGTAAATAGCCCAGTAAATGCGCAGTTTCTGGTATTGATGTTCCCAGTCGTCAAGCCGTGATGATTTGACCTTTATCAAAGTCTGATAAATCAGCTGCTTTTCCCATTATGTCGCTAATCGCGCTATGTTTGGAAACGCTACTTTATATACTCTAGCATCAGCAGCGTATGTGCAGTGGTTTTGTTCTTGGGTGAGCCCATTGTTATAGATGGAGGGTGGTCATAATGTAATTGCTCTTCAGTGTATATGGCATGTAAATAAATCTGTGATTTTAATTATAGTGTAATGAAAAGCAGTTATGTTCTGCATGTAAACATTGCTACTGCTGTTCTTTATATTCAAGTCATTGTTTATGCATAAGAAGTGCCTTTGCTTTTCCATAAGAAGTACCTTTTTTACTAAAAATATATTAAGTAAATATGATAGTGTTACACAGTTCAATGACATTAATGTGACCACTGCCTACTTTTGGCATCAACCTAAATAACCATTCACAACTAGCAGTAAAGTGTATGTAAAGTAGGTGTAATGCAGAAATGGAGTGATTTTGCTTCTGGGCAAAGAGTGGAAGCATTTCTGAAATGGCTAATTTTGTAAACTGTTCACATGCTGCTGTGGCATGTGCTGTGGTTCACATGCTGCTGTGGTAAATGAACCATGCATGGCAAAAAGGTATTATCCAAAATGAGCAATATGGTGCAGCACAGGCCATAGATGACAAATGTGAACAATAGCTGCAGAGATGCATTTAGGCAAATAGACTTGTAACCACTGAGCAACTGACCACCCAGGTGAAACAAGAGGGTACCAACAGTACGTTCTCTGCAATAGTTCAATGACTGTTGCTCTGCATGGGCTTCAGCAGCAGATGCCTAGTTAATTCACCTATGCTGACTGTTGCTTATTGGTGACAAAAGGCTAAAATTTGCACAGCAGTACCACAATTGGATATTACTGAGCGCCAAAATATGGCTTTTTCCAATATCACAGTATTTTGGACAGCTGCAAATTGCCATATATGGTGTGAAATGTTTGAAAACCTGCAACATTTGCAAGAATCGTCCAAGCTGGAGGAGGGAGTATTATGGTCTAGAGAATGTTTTCATAGTATTCCCTGAGTGCACTCATCATTATGGAAGTCACAGTGGATAAACAGAAGTGTGCACCTGTCCTTGTGGACCATGTCCATCCCTACAATGCAGATTGCACATGAGGCTACCAACAAGCAAGATGGCATCTATCAGGAAGACAGTGTGGTATGTCATACAGCTTGCAGTTTTATGTGTATGTTTCGAACGGCACCAGGATGAGTTTATTGTACTCCTGTAGCCACCAAACTCACTGGACTTAAATCCATTTAAAATACCTCAGTTGGTTTCTTAGTGTCATGGATCCTCAGCTGTGCAACCTAGTGCAGCTGGCCACGACACTGGAATCAGCATGACTATGCATACCTGTGAGTACCTTCCAGAATCTCACTGATTCCCTTCCTCCATGTCTTGCAGTGGACTGTACTGTGAAAGGTGATTATTCTGGCTTTTTACAGATGATCCTATTAATGTGACTGAACTGTTTATACTAATGCATTTCCATAAAAGAAATTTTTATCTTATGTTGCACACAATAACTGCAGTCAGTTACTTTTATCTTTTTATGTATATTGTAAGCTATTTTCAAATTCCAGTGAAGAAACTGCTCATTTTTCATGTCTCTTGATCTGTTACCTAATTATTACAAGTGGTACCCAAAATAAAATGTGATAAATGATAATTTATCGCCACCAGGATTTGGTGATTAAGTTCCTGACTCTGTAATGTTTTTTTCTATCCTTGCCATGTGTCTTCATGATCCGGCTAGTAATCGGAAGTTTGAATCTTTGCAGCGCCATTGCTCATTTTTGATATCTTCTGTTTTGATAAACCTAATGACTCTACAATGTTGCTACTGTGTTGCTTTTTGATGGAAATTTTAGAGCATAAAGGGGTTTTTAACAATGAAATTTTAATTACAATTTATAATATCTAGAACAGTGGTCGTTTCATGTGACCGCCGGGCTTTTTAGTCTTTATATATATTATAAGGTATTTCTCCCACTTCACTAGCGTGCCTTCGTGGTGTAGTGGTTCTGCACGCTGGGCCGGTATTCCAGAGGTCTGTGTTTCGATTCCCGGCAAAGGCGGTTACATATTTTTCATCTTTTGTGCTTCCAAAAAAAAAAAACCTAATGACTGTACAAGTGACGCCCGAACTAAAAAGGTTGTGGATGATGATTCTCCGCACCCAGGATTTGGTGATTAGGCCCCCTAAAATCCTAGTCACCCTTTAAAAAGGGGAGTATATAAGGCATTTCTCCCACTTCCTTAGCGTGCCTTTGTGGTGTAGTGGTTCTGCACGCTGGGCTGGTATTCCAGAGGTCTGTGGCTCGATTCCTGGCAAAGGCGGTTGCATATTTTTCATTTTTTCTGCTTCCTAAAAAACATAATGACTCTACAATATAAGTGGCTTAAGTGTTTGTCGGCGATAGTTTATTGTTGCCACTTGGAAAAATGGGTGCGGAAATTAACGTTTCCACACTTTTTAATTAATATCTTGGCCGATTAAAGTTGTACGACGATGAGAATGGTATCGATGGATTCGAAGAATTTTTTGGAATCTGAAGATACGCATCTCGAATTTCAACTCGGCGCCGTTCCGTACATATTCAAGAAAAAAGAATTTGCCACGTAGACAAATCCCTCTAATAGGGAAAACCCGAGAAAGAAACTGGAAAATGTAGGGAAAACATAGGGGAAAATTAGTTTTTAATTAAAATCTTGGCTAATTAAAGTCCCACGAAGACGCATATGGTCAAAATGGCGTGCTACGGACCTGCGGAATCCAACGGTGTGCTTCGCTAAGCCCGGGAACCATCCATTTTGGAGGAGGTGTTACTTTACCCCATATATATATATATGTGGCTTAAGTGTCTGTTTGTCGCCGATAGTTTATTGGTTGCGTAACTGTATTAGCCAATGGGGTGAAGTTGCCACGGCACAGGGTTGCCGTTTCAATTGAGACGTAGGCAATTTCCAGTAAAACTTGCCTTTGCTATGGCCATCAATAAGTCTCAGAGCCAAGCGCTTAAGCGTGTTGGCATTTTTTACGTGGGCCTGCATTTGGGCACGGTCAACTTTATGTTGCCTGTCCTAGATTTTGTGAAAGCACGGATGTAAAATTAAAAATAGTTGATGGTTCTCTGCAAGGCGAGCCTAAAAATGATGTAAAGATCTACACAAGAAATGTTGTGTACGAAGAGATCTTTGACATGTGAATTAACATTTTATTATTCAAATCACCTTCATTTATTGAGCTAGCAGTGGCTCTTAAGAAATGTACCGCCAGTGGTTTCCTTCACTTTAAGCAAGTAGAAAAGGGAAACCCCGTGGGGTAGTAAGCAAAGGGACATCCTCGCCGCCTGCCCTGGGTAATTCAGTTTGAATTAGCAGACACCTTTGCACAAATAATTTTAATTACAATTTATAATATCTAGAACAGCGGTCATTTCACATGACCGCCGCGCTTTCTAGTAGAAATATAATGAAAATTATAAGTAATTTAATTTTTATACTTTACTTCAGTGTAAAATATTGGCAAAAATTACAGAGTGTGTTTTGTATGTATAAGGTTAAGAATAATAAAATTTGTACTTTTTGTTTTTAGGCTAGAAAAACTTAGGGTTCTTTTAAAAGAATATTGACAGCTCATCGGAGACTACTAAAAACCATAAATTAAATGTTATCAACTGTTGAATCTGATCCTCACCAAGCTGGGGGATAACTTGATGAATAATAAATGATAGTGTTGGAAAAGATAATAATTGATGAAGAATAAGTATTGTTCATATATTATACTATTAATAAATCAGTTGTTCATTTTGAATTGATTTACTAAAAAAAAATAAAAAGAGGTCAAGCTTGTATTCCATGGAACTGTTTGAAACCGCTATATAGTCTAAAATTACTGTTTGAAACCGCTATATAGTCTAAAATTACTGTTTGAAACCGCTATATAGTCTAAAATTATTTTTAGACTATATAGCAGTTTCAAACAGTATAGTCTAATTTTTAGAGATTATGTATTTCTTAAAATTAATGTTCTGTAACTGAATAATTGGACATCTTTATAAAGTGGAGCAAGTGAATTAAATAATTTTATTAGTTTGGAATAATGCATTGTTACTTGCTTTTTGTTTTTTAATCATTACTGCTTTATTGTGTGCAAAAAAATACTACAGCTTTGAAAACTTTGTTGTTAGATAACTTAAACAACCAATTTTGTTTAGTAGTTTTGAATTGGTTGGTTATGAAAATGGGAAATAATTAATGAAGCTAAAAAAAAAGTTATCAGTTTTTAGCTCTTACAAATCTTAGACAGTTTTAACTACATTTTCCCATATAATTTTGAAACAGTTTTGCTTTGAATATTTAGTAACTCATTTACCAAAAAAATATAAAAAAATAATCTGCATTCTTTAAATATTTTTTTAAATAAGCCTTTTTAATAATCTATATCTTTTCTTTTAGATGATGAAAGGCTAATATGTGATGAGGAAGTTTTAAAAAAGAGTGAAACATTTTGTGAGTCGTGGGGAGCAAAAATGGACACATGGTTGAAAGATGTTTTCACCCAGTGGGGAGTATTTTGTGCAACAAACCCAGTCCTAATTCTTTTAACTGGCTTAGCAGTTTTTGTAATGTTTGCATCTGGCCTTGTGTTCTTTACTGTTCGCACCAACCCAGTTGAATTGTGGTCAGCACCAAACAGTCAAGCACGTGAAGAAAAAGACTATTTTGATAATCATTTTGGGTAAGATATGTTGTTTTTTGTAAGATTAATCTAAAAAAAAAAAAATTATTTTTGTCATATTTATGCCTACTAAAATGTTCTAAGTCTATCAAGTAACTTGTATTCCTTTAAGATTATTAGAATAAAAAGAGCTAAAGCTAGGAAATATTTAGTCTGGTATTTATTTATGATACAGTCCTCCTTAGTGTATTCATATGCCCATTTGTATGATATAATAATAATTATTCAATGTTTTTAGCATTTTTCCATTAAATAATGTATGGATTTCATTTTTCCTTTGATTTCTCTGAGAGAGTTAAAATGTTAAGTATTAAAGGTGTATGAGTATTATAAAGATGTGTGAGTTATGGAAGGAATGGTTAAAATGCCTTTACACTTCCTTAACAAGTTCTGTAAAACAAGGTTATTAAACAAAATCATTCCAATGATAAATCGTTATCTATTAACAAATAAATTTTATTTTTTGTAACATATTACACATTATGAATATTATACCGTAACACACATTTCTTTTTGTGGAGGAATTTTTTTAAAATAACCTTATATATATTATACCATAACATACATTTCTTTTTATGGAGGAATTTTTTTATCATCATGTATATATAAGGTTATTTATAACCTTATATTACATCATGTATATGTAAGGTTATCATATATATATAAGGTTATTTTATGTCTTAATTATAAGGTTATTTCTTGTAATGAACTAATTGATAAATTTGAAAAATGAGACAGCATTCATCTCAAAGTAGAAAAAAAATATCTTAATTATAATATTAGTTAATATTAGCATATATTTGCATATTCTAAATGTTTGACTTGGTTATAAAACAAATTTTTAGTTTGTGATGAATAGAGTTTGTCTTTACATTGAAAATGGTTGGTAATTTTGTATAAGTTGTACATTTGTATCAGATTTATCACATTTCACTTTATTATACTTTACAGTGAAAAATCCAGAATACAAATAAAAATATTTTCATTTACACTATTTGATAAATGAAAGTCACACAGACAGTCAGATACATTAAATTAGAATATTTACTCTTTTATTCAAAATTGTTTTGCAATTGGTGTTGTTTAATGGGTTAAATTCTATATTATTAGTTATTGCATCTTTTATTAAAATGGGGGAAGCAACGGAAATTATGTTTAATTTTTTTTTTATTTAAATATGAGAGGTAAAAATTATTTCCTATACAGTTTCAGTTTACTGTAGTTCTTATATTTCATGATTGATTAATGTTTCTGTTAAGTAATGTTATTAACATATATTTTCTAGTCCCTTCTACCGAACTGAGCAAGTAATTATTACCCGGAAAACAAACACACCTGTTATTGCAGATAATTTAACCTTCAGCTCTGTTTTTGACAGAAGATTTCTTCATCAGGTAAATTATAATTATTTGTAAATTTTAAATGGGCGCAACATAATTTTTATGACAAATTGTTTGAAAAGTGCATGTCTGAAATTCTGAAACATGCATAATTAAGACTTCCTTTTTTAGGAGATATAGAATATGCAAAATTAATATGTATATAGGGGGACATATAATTTTATAAGATGTGTAAATTTGATTTTTCTGTGTCTATTTTTACTCTTAATATAAACGCAGATATCACATCTGCAGAATTTTTCAATCATATTCTGGAACGTTTTGCATCTTTAATACAACTTTGTAAAAGGTCTTAATTCTTTACTATTTTTTAATGATTTCCTTTTTTGTATAATTATAGACTGCATTATGTTTTTAAGTTTTGATTATAATGTAGTCATCTTTTTAATGTCTAATTCTAAACCAGATATCCAGCTTTTTGTCTCTATAATATAGATGTAATAATTTTATATTTTCCAATGTTAACAAAATTTTTTTTGCAATGATTACATTATACAAATGCTTGTCAATTTTATCTACAATTGACTGAATACTCTGTATTAATTGTCAGTAGAATGAGAATAACTTAAAATCAGCCACTGTTTTTCATCTTCAGTTGATTTCCTGTTCAGTTATTTTATCTATATTAATTTATCATCCTTATAGAATAGGTTTCTTGATTTTTTTTTTTTTTTTTTTTTTTAATCTGGGGTTATAAACTTAGAACCATATGCCACGAAACGGGATATATATATGCATATACCTGATCTGAATATTAAAGAAGCAGAAAATTATTGAATATTTCATCCTTCTTTCAATAAAAGCATCATGCAATCAAAAAAGTAATGCCTAAAATTTAATTTTAAAAGTATTTTGCTATTTGACAGTTAATCTTAAAAAATTAATTTTTGAATTTTTAGCTCTTTTAAAAGTCATAATTTTGTTGATTAGTAAAACATTACAGGATTTAGGGGGGGGGAAGAGAACTGTTTACTTGCAGTAGCAAATTTCTTAGACTTCTCTGAGTGTATATATAGTCCGCAAATTCAATACTGTATCTAATATAGCTGTGATTTTCTGTGTGAAAATTTTTATTTGTTAATTACACTTTTATTTGAGAGATACTTTTAATATGTTCTGTCCTTGATTAATGTTTTGGGCTTAATTATTCTTTTTTCCCCCTTTTAAGATTTTGGAGCTTCAGAACAGCATTACAAGTTTAACTGCTGTACGAAATAATAGAACTATTCATTTTGAGGATATATGCTTTGCACCAGTGACTAAACACAAATGCATGATTCAGAGTGCAGTAAACTGGTTTCAGAATGACCCTGCTCACCTAGATTACTATAAAAGCACCAAAGATTACCTAGAATTTTTAAACAACTGCACTTCGTAAGTTTAATTTCTTCTTTGTATTAAATGTTTAGCTTGTTTGAAGTTAAGTATGTTTTATTATTTTTAAAACATTTTTTACATTAACTTCCATTAATAATAAACAAAGAATAACCAATTAAAAATTTATGAAAGAAGAAATTATATATTTCATTTAAAAAAATTCTTAATTTTATTTGTATCAATCTGCATATTTATTATTGATAACTTTCAATTAATTAGTGAAATGCATGAATTATTTGTGTTGTTCATTTTAGTCATCAAATTAAAATTTTCTCTCTCTAATGTAACTACAGTCAGTACTGGTTGTAATGAATGATCCTTTTGCATCTTAAAGAAGCAAGACCTTATATCTAGTGTCCATCATAATAAAAATGGATTTCATATATTCTGATCATTTGAGAACTTTTTGTACCTCTGTAATGAGCAGTCATTATAATGAGCATTGCATAATACAGTTAATTTGAAGAAGTTTGTTGTAAAAACAGCAAAGCAAGGCTGGCAAATGAAGCTTGAAATATATAACTGCAGTTAAAAGAATTTTTTAACTGCTTTAACTATCACATTTACTGATTCATATATTTTTCATTCACACATGTTTTCCTCTTTAGTTTTATAAGAACAACGCCCTGAAATTTTTTTTAATATTCAAGTAGTTTTTTCTTCTTCAAGATGTTCAAAAGTGAACTGCCCTAAATTTTAAAATGGATTCACCCACATACATAATGGTTGTTTTTACCTTACTAATTGCTTTACTTGGGAATTTTGGGTGCATAGGCTCTGATTAATGAAATAATAGTGAAGAGTTTCAAGAAAATGTGGATATCTTATGCTCTTGGTGTTTCTAAAGATCATTGCATTTGAGAAGACACAATGAGTGTTAACAAAGACGATGACAACAAAGATAATTTCTGCCACTTAAGTGTAGTATATGATACAGATAGCATTTCTAGCAGCATTAAATGAGTTGAGGCTGTGTGAGTCATGAACAACAATAAGAGCAGACAAGATTCAGTATACAAGAAAGTAGAAATGAAAATATCTTATTAGCTGTTGTAATATTAATATTACTATGTATTCTTAGGAATTTAGGCTTCTTTTAAATAAATAATATTATGATAGTAACTGGTAGTTTATCCATGAATATTTTTCATTTGTTGAGCTCTTACTGTAACCAGATCCTTAAGAAATTAAATTGTTTGCATAATTTTTGCTTCTCAATTTTTGTTCATTAAAAATAGTAAAAAAAGGGGGGGAGAGAATATGCAAATAAACATAGTAAAAATTTTCTTTCAAATTTTCTATCTTTACTGTGTTAGCATTTATTTATAATATTGAATTTGTGATTGTCTTATTAATTAGATTTATCTATTAATGAAGTTTATCACATTCTTTTACATAAAATATATATTTTTCAGTTATGTGTGATGAATGTGAATTATACTTCTGTCCATTATTAGAAGAGTTTTTATTTGCTCAGTTTATCAGTAAACTTCCCAAGGTTAAGGTGACCTATGAAATAGTATTTAAAGCAAGAGTTGCATTTTAAATTTAATTATGTATATATTAATTTTTTTAATATGTGAAAACTTTTTAACATCCTCATGAAACAAAAATGCAAAAAAATATGAAGTAAATTATGTAATTCATATTTTTGCTTCATAAAGATGTTAGAGTTTTCATGTGAAAATATTCATATTTTAATTAATTTAATATTATGTACAAGTTTTGAAGTAACAATTTTTTTTTTTTTTTTTTTTTTTTTTTTTTTTTTTTTGACATTTAAGTTAAAAATCAATATATCTTGTACTAAAATTCAAAAAATATCATAATGAACTGAAAGTTGAAAATTTACAGGTTACCAGTTAAGCAAGGTACATATTGTAATTTGCATGAAATTTGACATATGATTAAACAGTTATGAAACATATATTTAATAGAATTTGACAAATGTATTTATCTATTTTGTTATTTTATAGTAACATAAATTTTCTTTTGCATACATTTCATTGTTGCATATGAATAAAATGCTGGATATCTGAAGTTTTTAAAATCTTAATTCATATTTATTTCAGAAACCCATTTTTTATTCAGAAGAAAGGTCTGTCGTGCTTAGGTGAATATGGAGGACCTGTCTTTCCATATGTTGCACTTGGAGGAGTGGCAGATAAACATTATAATAATGCGTCTGCACTGATTTTATCATTTATGGTACAGAACTATGTAAAAGCTGAGGATAATGCTGATGCTATTGCATGGGAAAAGAGGTACTGAACATTATTTTGGTTAATGTCCTTGTTCATTGATATGCAGTTTAGTTTTATAAGATTTTTAAGAATGATTCATAGAATTGTACATAAATTAATAATTGAAACATTGTACTATCAGAATTTGGAAGTATCTGTAACATTACACATGTTATGTAATTTTTTCAAAGTTTTTTGGGAGGTGGAGATGATGTGCATTTTATGTTGTTGGAATTTGAAGTGCAGTCATGAAGCTGTATGAGTAAACATTATGTAAAAAAATATATATGTCACAGCATTAGAGCATATAGTCTTTTAATCCCTTCTCGCCGGGTAGCGCAAACACGCGCTTATCGCGGAGACCGGCAGTGTCTTATGCGAGCGTCTGTCCAGGGCTGCGGGCTTTTTTGCTATTAAGCCTAAATCCATGAAATTTCCAAAGTATCAATGCATTGTTTAATAATGCTCTATAGAGTATTTAAACGGCTTATGCTTTATAGATATTTTTATACTGTATACTTTAATTACCTTATTTCTTGTTTAAATGCATATTTTACACATTTTATTTTCATTACTCACCGTTTTATGACTTTTAACATTATACATATGAAAACTAAATATATTACTTAAAATTCTCTTTTCGTATGAAAAATTTGAAAACAGGGATCTACACACAGTCCTACGTTACATTCCTTGCACTCGTAATAACTCATTTGCCGTTTTGGAGGATTTTTCTGGCAATGTGAACAAACGAAGCATCGTCGTCTCATTTTCTTATCAGTCTCTTCCGAACAAAGTTTTGGAAAATGTCTTTCAGTTAATCTGAGTGGATTTAATGATTCTGCTGACCTTGGTGTGATTGCAACGGTAAAAACAGAAAGAATTCACGTCTAACAAGATCTAATTATTTTCTAAAACAGAAAGAATTCACGTCTAACAAATTTTCTATTAAAAAATATTTATTCGGTCTGTTTCTAATAAAAACAGAAAGAATTCATGTCTAACAAGATCTGATTTAAACCGAAATACCCAACGCTTTAGCGAAAATAAAACTTCTCTACTTACAATAAACAACTACCATGTGCGAATTTAAAGAGACGTCATAAATCACACATTCGGAAACATTTATTTCCCCTTTAGTTTATATAATCAAAAATACATGTATGTGAGTCATGCTTCTCTCATTTCGAGTAGAAGGTCTAATGTACATGTATCTGAAACCATATGGACATACAGTGCCATTTTGTGGCAGAAATTATATATTTTAAAACGTTCCAGGACACTGGCACAAATACGTGATAGTCGGGGCTGAACGGGAAAATGCTCTAGCACGCCTGCGTGTCGGCCGGGAAGTGAGTGTATTCGTTGCTGGCACGTAGACGTGACAGTCGGCGCGAAGGGGTTAATTTATATGTAGCCTTCTTCTCATTTCCTAAGCTGAAATATAACTTAAAAGGGTGGTAGTTTAAACCATTAGGCACTGGTGTTGTGTTGATGCAATGGTCAAAATAAATGCGTATAAAAATATAACTACCAAAGATATTATATACTAGGAGATGATTTTGTGTAGGGAGTATTATGAATAGTATTTCTATTAAAAAATTGTCTTCAACAATAATTTTATTTATAGTAATTAGTCTCGTATTTTAAGCAAAATTTTTTACCAGTTATTTTTGCCAGAAAATTTAACGAAAGAATCGCCATCTTTATGGGTGATTTATTTTTAGCCTAGATCACTGCGTATCACAACATTCCATCAATCAGCTGTTTGTGTTTGTTTCGGAATGGAAGGGAAAACAGGTATTGCACTGGTGCTACATGTTGAAAAGAGAGAAGGTAGAGGGGGCTGCTTGGCAGCAGAACTGAATACATGTAAGGTAGAATCGTGTATCGGTTCATTAGGCAGTATAATTTCTGTGAAGGTTGTCCACCCAATAATGGGACACATGAAAATATGTATATAAACGATATAATAAATGGTAAATGGAAATGAAACACTGGTTGCTTTGTGTTCCTGTACGGGTCACCGTGGTTTGATGCAGGTTTATTATACTACATCAGTGAGGAAAGGGTATTCCCCTTTGTTACTCATGACCTTAGCTCTGCTTGATATTCATTCCATGCCTTAAAAATGCCTAGAATGATGTACCTTACATTAAAATAAGCCCTTCAGAGATTTTTTGATGAAGAAACACATGATGATAATGGCCAGAATCAAACTGATATTATGCTTTGATATTTATTCAGGTAAATCGACAGCTCTGATATTATTAGAATATGAAGAATTTGATCTTGGTGGTGGTGATAAATTTGCTCAATGGTGTTGAAACTCCCGTCAATCATGCTATTTACTTTGATAACTTTTTTACATCATTTCATCTTCTGTGTCATCTAAAAAGTAAAGGTTTTATTGCTTCAGGAACAATTCAAGAAAAACGCATGCAAATGTGCTCACTAGAAACAATGAAAGACAGTGCTTATTATGATTTCCAGTATGAAGAGAAAAACAAAATAATTTTTGTCCGAGGGAGTGACAGTGATTGATTCAACATTTGTTAAAATTCAGGCATAAAAAGTGTTTTCCCGTTAGAACAATACAATGCCAAAATGGGAGGAGTCAATTTTTGTGACAATTTAGTAGCCAATTACAGAATAAGTGTTCATGGCAAAAAATGGTGGTATCCCTGACAAATGCATGGAAAATATCACAACTTCCTACTACTAGAAATAAAAGAAATCTCTTTTAGATTTCAGATGCGAGATTATGTTATTCCTTTTTGCAAACCTATATTGAGAGTACAGAATTAGCCAGAAATACTGTAATTTTCGGAAGAAATGCCGCGGCGTTTATGTGTTTAAAACTTAAATTTTCAGCGGGTGCGGCGTTTCTACCCATGCGGTGTTTAGGTGCACTAAAAATAAAATATTTTGTATGATGGTCATTTTACATAGTTTGAATAACTTTGTCATTGTACATAGACTGGTGCTGTTCCCCCACAAAAGACCACTCATTTGCTTTTTGCGAACGTTATTTTGTTTACATTCTTTCCCTTGAATGGACCTACATGCCTTATTCACCCTAAACGGAATTTCAGAACAATAACATTCTCTCCCCTTTCAAATCAGCATTCTCATAATAGTCTCTCTCCTCTGCCATTCGATGAATCTTCCAGGACCCATCCCTGCCTTTTCTACAATTTTTTTCAAAAGCGTACACGACTCCACCTGCCTCACAATAACAAACTCTGACCTGACGTATTTCCCCTTCAGCACGAATTTTCTTGGCATTCTGCCAGATACAGATCCCATCAGTTTGGGTACAAATACTTGTTGAATAGTTTTTAAGTAAGAAGGGAGCGGAAAATTTTTGAAAATGGCACAGAAGCTATACTGCTGGTTTTAAGCTTAATGTAATTTCACGTGCTGAACAAATTAGAAGTAGAGCAGCAGCTCGAGAGTTTTAAGTGGACGAGAGATGTATTCGACGTTGGAGAACTGAAAAAGAACTTAAAAATGTGTGTTAGCTTGTGCCGCAAACGGTGACAAGCTAAGACCGATGATCATTTTTAAACGAAAAACTATTCCAAAGGGAGATTTTCCTAATGACGTAATTATTTGTGCAAAAGAGAACGGCTGGATGTGCAAAACAATCATGCATGAGTGGCTACAAAAAGTTTGGCAGTGTCGTAAGGGATCTTTTTTTCAACCAAAAGGGTTATTGATAATGGATTCCGTGTATGCTCATTTACTTGAGTCAGTGAAAATCAGATGTCAAAAACTGTCTACGACCGTAGGAATAATTCCTGGTGGTTTGACAAAAATCTTAAAAGCATTAGATTTGTCAGGTAATTAATCCTTCAAAGCTGAAGTCTGAAAGCGGTGGCAGTGTTGGATAAGTGAAGGATTGCATACGTATACCAAAAGCGGCAAAATGCATATAGCATGTTATGAAGAAGTAACAAAGTGGGTAGGAAGTGCATGGAAATCAGTGAAAACATCACCAATAATAGCAATGTTCAAAGAAGCTGAAATTATATCCTCAGATAAGGAGACTGTAAACCAAGAGGATGAATGTGATGATCTGGAAGACTTGGACTTGGATCAGGATTTACTAAATCTTTTTAATTCAGATAGTGAAGAATCGGATTTTGATGGCTTCATATGATGTATAGTTTGCTGTAATTCCTTTTGTAAGTAAAATTTAAAATTTCCTTTTGTCATCCAAATTTAATATTTCGTTGTTGCAATATTTTTTATAATATAGTCTGAGTATTACAAATATGGACTTCTTTAGTGGGTAAATATAAGTATATTCGTGAACATAAATATATTTTCAACATTTCTTGCCTTTAATTTATTTTTGAGTTATGGTTTCATTTCATGCATTTTTCTTAACTGATATGTCATATATCAGGGCATAGGTTGAGATTTTGCATCTGTACGGCCCACGACGATGTCACGCGCAATTTAATCTATTGGGGCGTTTCTGTGTAATTTAAATTTTTTTCCGCCATTTTTCTTGAGTGCGGCATTTACGCTGATGCGGCCTTTCTTCCGGAAATTATGGTAGGTCAGCAACAGGAAGACCTAGTAAAATTCAGCATTCAAAAGCAAATGTATGGAGATGGTAGGCATTTGATTGTAAAGTCCGAGGATAATGAAAGACTTCTTTCTTTGTAAAGAATGTCATTGCCACACTGTTTGTAGGTGCAAAATATGTAGTGTAGCTTTAGGTCATGATTGTAGTGAAGCTTTTCATGCTTGAATCTTTCATTTGAAAATAATCTGTATTTTTAAAAGAAGTACAATGTAAATTTTAATATTAAATTAATTACAAGTAAGGTGATTTGTAGATTTATAAAATGTTATATAGCTAAAAAGTAATCCAGTGCTCCACTCAAAGAAAACTTCACATGAGTAGAATCATACTCACTGAACTTCCGCATTCTACTTCTGCTGACATTGTGCATAAATAACACAAATATAACATTGTGAAAACATAACACTCTATTATTTTTTCACACATAAGTGCATTTTTATAAAAAATTTCAGTGTAAATTTATGTTATAAATACTTAATTTAATACTTAATATTATTTGTATAAGAAAAAAAATCATTCCTTGTTGTTTTGACAGTTAATGGGTTAAAGAGTTACTTATCTGCAACAAGTCATCTATCTAGTCTAGTTGCATAGCTGTTTCTAACAGCTTTAGGAATATTGGCAAAACATTTAAGATTCTAAAAGTAACTTATTAAAAAATATATATATTGTGTATGAATTTATTTGATATGTTTTTATAAGCAGAATCTAGGAACTTTACAATGCCTTTTATGCAAAATATGTATAATTTATTTATTAAATGTAGTAAATGACCAGACCATTAAAATTGTCTACTCAATATAAAGTAAGTACTTCTTGTGCTGCCATGAAAGTTCGTATCCAGTGCTGCACGCATATTCATGAACTTTCTAAATGGTGCAGCATTTTGAATCTGCATAGGAAGAATTGGATTTAAACAACATTTGTTAGATAAATTTGCATAATTAATTATTTTATGTTTTCATAAACTTTCTTTGCTACTAGTAACCTTAGCATTGGTTGGTTATGGAATACCCAGGTCGCTGGATTTGATCTGGGGGGTTTTGTTTTATGTCTGCACGATAATCAGATCCAACACCTTCGAATTTCTTCCTATAGTGATGTGAAAGAATTAGTCTATCAAGACCTAGTTACAGTTGCACTTCTTCATGCTATATGTACTTAGGTGAACACCATGCTGCTGCAACATGTGCAGTCAGCCATTCCAGGCATTTTCCATACATACCTTAACATGCACAGTTGACAAACTGAACATCTTCCTATGCGAACTTATGTAAATACCAATGTTCATATTTCCAATAAAGCTTCCCCCCACACCAGATATGATGTCATACTTTTCTTTCACATTTATCTCAAGAACTATGGATCACACAGGTACAGTTCTGTAGGCACTTTTTATGCATTCCAAGCGAAGAATCTGGCTCTGCAGAGATTAGGTGGTCTTGATGGGGCACCCTGTATTTTATGCAGAAACAGTGAAATCTCTGTTCAGATGGTTTTCTTGATATTAGGCATGAAATGGTGATGTGACATAGCCATTTATAGGTGTTGCTATGGAGAAATATTATACCAATTTATTTCAGTTTTAACTGCTAAAATAATCTCCATGTTTCATCAGGAAAAAAATGATGTTGTCATAAAATGGACTGCTGTTGATTTAATTCAGATGCATGTGCATCTGCTACTATTAAAATATCGATAATAATCTGTTGTACTAAAGAAAGTTATCTGTGTGTATAAAACAGCTGTTTTTTTTTTTTTTTTTTTTTTTTTTTTTTTTTTTTTTAAGGTTCATTGAATTTCTCAAAAACTTCAGTAATCCGGATATGGAATTTACCTTCTCAGCAGAAGTATGTTAACTTTGATATTTTTATAGATTTAAATAATAAATTATGTGAATAATTTATTTTCACATACTTCCTTATGCTTCAAAAATTTTATAAGTGATAATCCTATAGTTGAGAATATGATGATGAATTTGATATTAGTCTTTTTATTGCATACTCATTTCCTAAAATTTTTTTTTTCAATACCCAGAAATAATTTTATTAAAATGAGAAATTATATTTTCTATACCCAGAAATGATTTCATATAAATGAGTTCTTTAAAACCTTGTAAGGATGAATTAGAGAGAGTGAAAATGTAAATTATGTCTTCCTCAATTTTGAAAATGCTTATGTATTAAAATATAAGTAAATTATAATGCAAGTTATTATATATATATATATCGAAACAGATTATATATGATGAATTTTAAATAGAAAAATTAAAAATAAATCTTAACTGAATAAAGAGTCAAACTATAAAAATTTATGTGTATAATTATGTGTATACAGTCAAAAGTCGTTAATTCGGAATGATCTATAATCCGGACCTCGAAACTAAAAAATTTCTGCGCATGCGCTGCGTTGACACATGTGCATAGGCGTTTACGCGTGCGCGTAAGACCTTTTACAACTGCGCATATGAGTGTGCGCAAGTGCAGAATACGTTTTCGCATGCGCGTTTTATGTATAATGGACGTATAAGCTAAAATTATCTAATTATCTATTTCAGTTAATGTTGATGATTGCGTTGTTCCTTAATTTTCGAATTGGATCCGGCTTATTATTTTTTGCAGACTGTAAGAGCAATTTTATAAAAGTAAGCTTAAACTTACGATTATATCAAATAGAATTTCCGATATATATTTGTTAATATGTAAAGGATCTAAAGCGAAAGTATGTTTTGAAATCCGAAATCTGTTTATCACTTTCACGCTGCTCAGCGGGGGGGATCGCCGCGGCGGGCGCGTAATGAATTGGAAGTTGATCTGTCAGCACTATCCTTATCTTCAGCGCAGATGTTTTTATTTTATTTGGCTTATAATTCCTTACCAAATGTAGTATTTCATCTCGATATGCTCCGTCTTTGATATGATTTAAAACAAGTTCCTCGTCATTATAATTCACTTTCGATAGCGAAGAAAGTGACAGAGGTTATTGAAAACGAAAAAATTTCGATTGACAAATTAGTCGGTGTTCTGGACATAGCAATTATAGGACTTGAACAGCGGAACTTTGTAACTGAACAAGAAATTATGTCTGTTTAATAGAATTAAAGAGTATCACATGAAACGAGGCAAAACTTAAACAACTTACATTGAAAGAAATGTTTAATAAAGTAAACAAATAAATATTAAGCTTTTTCTTTTTGCAAATTTTGATACCCTTTAGATCATAATTGTTCTGTATTTCATAAATTACGGTTTCATATCGTTAATTTTAGAATTTCTGCATGCCATCTTACTAGATTTAAACTGATGATCTATAATCCGGAATCGCCGAAGTCCCGACGAGTCCGGATTAACGACTTTTGACTGTAGTTCTAAAAAAAATTGTGCATTGGCTATTTACATATTCTTCATAAAAAAAAGGTTGATTTCGAATTGTGTTTAGCTGCATTTGTTATATCTAGGGTGAAAGGAAGTTATCTTTTTACTCTTTTCTATTCCACATGGCATTCCATTATAGTATAGTCACAGTGAGAAATTAAATTATTTTAAGTCATTTTTGACATAGTATTTATTTTCTGTTGTGATTAACATAGTTTATAAAAAATTCAGTCTTTTTTTTAATCCACGTCTTCTACCAAAAAATGGCAAACTCATTGGAGACTTTGAAGAGCGCATTGGAAAACTTAATTGGTGACTCATTTTGCATCCTAGTGCATACTTTCAAAATGGTTGTGCATTAAGAATCACATGCAAAAGTATTCAACCAATAAAATTAAAAAGAAAGGAAATATTTGTAAGTTTCCCAGAAATTATTCTTTTTTTGTGTGCTTTTGTTTTCCCTATATAAACAGCAATCTTTTTATCACTTAAAAAAAATCAGAGAATTGCATAAGCTTGGCACTGTACCAGCCAAAATAGATATGTGCTTTTGCATACCTGTGCACACACCAATCTCTTTTCACTTAATAAAACATAGAGAATTGTATAAACTTAAGATGTACAACACAAGATTTGAGAACCAGACAAAACAGATAAGTGCTATGGGCATACCTCAGTTTCATTTTTGTGCTGTTGTTCTCCCCATGCACAAAATGATCTAATTTTATTTAAAAACATGTCAGAGAACTTCACAAATTCAGTATTGTACAGTACAAAGTCCGTAATTTGGACTCGTTGGGACTTCGGTGATTCCGGATTATAGATCATCAATTTAAATCTGGTCAGATGGCATGCAGAAATTATACAATTAAAAATATGAAACCGTAATTTATAAAATAAAAAGCAATTATGATCTAAAGGGTATCAAATTTTACAAAAAAAAAAAGAAAAGCTTACTATTTATTTGTTTACTTCATTAAACATTTCTTTACATTACGCTCATATGCTTTACGTGCATGCATAAAGCATATTCGCATAATGTATGTGCATTCTCTAAGCGCATGCGTAAAGTTTGTGGCTTTGAGGTCCGGATTATAGATCATTCCAGATAATGGACGTCCGGATTACGGACTTTGTACTGTACAACTTTGGTATTGCACACTGGACAAAAAAGATTAGCAACATGCATTAGGGTTGCCACAGACCTATTTTGGCAGCATACAATTTTGTATCATGAATGCTTTTTTATGACTTTTCAGTCAAGGTGCAGACAATTAGAACATGACAAAATTTTTTACTACTCTTATAGCAATATTTTTTGTTTAGAATAATTGTTTGCTTAACTGTTATCCTCTTCCTTCCTATACTAAATGTAAAAATGCACAAATTCTGCATACTATATTGTTACGAAATGTATAGGCGCGGTAAGATGGCTTCCGCTTACCATGCAAAGCAGTTTTGGGGTTGCCATAAAAAGGCAATAAAAGGTAGGGTTGCCACATTTGGTGAGAAATTGCCCATTTGGTTACAAAATTGACGATATGCCATGGATGGACGGAGAACCTTCTGGAACGAATTCTTACCGGTTTAGCCCAGAATGTTCTGAAACACAAGCCAAAAGATATATAAACCCTGCTGGTCCGCAATCAGTGAGGGTGCCTTGTCGAGTGCGAGATAGTGAGTCTCGAGTTAGTCTGTCCATGCGGAGTTGATCGAGTTGAGAGCCAGGCAGCGAGTGCCAAGTGGTTCCTCGAGTGCATCGAAGAGTCTCTTAGATCTTAGTACTTATTATCGTGGTTAGTGCATAGTCGAAAGTGTATGTTAAGCTCTGGGAACGACTCAACCGAAGAGTCAGGAGCTGTGCTCTGTGTGTTGTGAAGTGCATCGCGAGTTGTAGCGTGGAGAGTCTCAAGAGTACGTAGAGTTCTGAGAACGACTGAGCAAAGTCGGGAGCTGTACTGTGGTGCTTTGCAGTGAAGCTGTCTCCACCACCAGCCTGATAACCTGAAGGCTGTATCGCTGATTGTTTCAGCAAGTGTATAGTAAATCTTTGATGACTATAAAATGTGACTTTGGAGTTGTCCTGATTAATACCGGCCAATAAAGTGCATTCCGATATTCCATCAAGTGCTCTTGTCGTTATTCACTTCAAATCCACGCGAACCCTATACGAACGTGAAAGAAGAAAATAACATTAACTGGTGTCAGAAAATAGCGCAGCAATATAATTTCTGGTAGTTATTTATTCAATTAATACTTCTATATTTCAAACTGAATATTGTAGGAAATTTACATTATCCCTTGCTGTAGTACATCTCACTATAATAATTGCTTTATTAAAAGTGAAGAAAATGCATTAAAAAAGCATGAATCTTATTTTAGAATAGAAGAAAATGGTGAATGTTCCATTATTCATCATTTTTAGTCTTTTAATTCTTTAAATATATTGGTACAGTACCTGCCACTTATTAAACTCTGGCTAATAAAATCAGCCATTTATTATATTCAAATTTCCAAAAGTTAAAAAAATTATACTAAACACCATTTATTAAACTCATATCTGCCACTTATAAAACTCAAATTGGCAGGGACAAATTCTTAAGTGCCAGATTCTTCAAGTTGTAGCTATCAAAGCTGCCTGCAGTTAATCAGTTTAACTGATTATGGACCATGCTTATTTATCATTCAGGTATGTAGTGCTTAATAAAATGGGTTGACCAAAATTTTTATCTAATTCCTTGCCTTTGAGATGCTGATTTTAGAGCTTTTTGTTCAGACTGAAGTTTAGAGAGGCAGATTTTCTTTAGGTTAATAAGAGCAGTTTTCTAGAAGTGTTGTAAATGAACAAGTGTTCATTCCTGAATACTAGCCGAAAGAGGTACAAGTGTAACTTCAGCATCCCATCTTCTTAAGGTTTCCATGTTTAAAATCTTCCCTTTGAGATGCCTACATATGTTCACAGAGAGTTTCCAAAAATAAACCTCCTGACATTATAAGGTATTTTCCCCCTCTTTCCAGCATATGTTCATGCACTTGGTGTATATTCAGAAGGTCCCTCCCTGTTCAAGTCCTGGCAAGGATGCATATTTTTCATGTTTCATGTTACAAAATAGCCTAATGATGCGTCTTATTATAATGACTCTACATTGGCATCTGAACTAAAAAATGGTGGACAATAATTCGTCACCACCAGGATTCGGCAGCTGGATTCCCCTAATCTCCAATCGCCCTATAAAAGGGGGGTATGCAAAGTATTTCCCCCTCTTTCCAGCATGCCTTCATGGTTTAATGATAGCTCACTCGGCACTTATTTAAGAGGGAGGTCCCGGTCAGAGCATTGCATTTTTTCATGTTTCCTACTTCAAAATAGCCAAATAATGACTCTACAGCATTATCATATATTAACAGTGTTTAAATGAAAAGGGAATATAAGTGTTTTCTGAAAGAAGCAAAGAAAACATTGGTCATGTTTGTAA